TTCCAGTTATAATAATATAAGATTTAATCAATTTCAAAGCTTAGTTTATTGACTTCTTGATCAGATAAAATTAATTTTGAATTATAATTATTGGTTCTAATTTATTATTTTCAATATATCATTTTAAGTAATCTTTATTATATGGATTTTTTATTTCTTGTTCTTAATTGGTAAGCATTTTTATCAAATTTTTCATGAATATAAAATGGATCTTTTCATTTTTGTGAAAATTTTTTATGATATCAATATTACATCTTTATTTTCTTTATTAAAACTTTATCTTCAATAAAGAAATCTTGTGGATATTTATTTTGTTGATAAGATTCTTTTTGTTTTTGTTGAGATTTTTGAATATTTTGTTTTAATATTCAGTCAATTTCTAATTTATCTACTATTATACAAGCTCTTTTTATAATTTTATTTATTGTAGTTTCTTGATTTTTTACTGATTGTAATTTGAAATCTAATAGTGTTAAGGCTTGTCATCCATAAGTAAGATAAAATAATGTGAATTTTATTGTGTTTTGTTGCATTATTCAATATGCAAAAAGTACTAAAGGTAAGTAAAAATCACATTTATTTTCATGTAATTGAACAAACTTTGCTATAAATTTGCATAAAGTTCTATTTAATCTTTTAATTAATTTATTTATTTGTGGGTGATATGATGCTAAGAGATGGTATTTGATTTGATAGTTTTGATATAATATTCTAATCAATTTATTATCAAAAGTAGTATCTCAATTAGATATTAATTTTTTAAAAAACTATATCAACAAATAATATTTTCATATAAGAATAGTACAATTATTGTTGCAGTAGTATCTTTTATTGCTTTGACTTCAGTTCATTTAGTATCATAATCAATTATTGCTATGATATATCTATTTTGATTACTGGTAATTAGTAGTGATTTAATTAAATTAATTCTAATTTTTTCAAAAGATGATCAAGTTTCAATTGAATATAGTAAATTATTTTTCTTTATTTTGTCTTTTTGTTGATATATATCACAAGTTTTTATATAGTTTTTGATATCTTGATGCATTTTTGACCAGTAATATTTATATGAAATTCTATAATATATTGCTTTGATTCCAAAATATCTGAAATAAGTTGTTGAATATTTATTAAATAATATTTTTTTACTTCTATAAGTTAAATTACTTTAAGTAATGTATCTTTATTTTATTGAAATAATACATTATTATTTATAAGATAATACATAACTTTGTTTTTCAATTTGTGTTATTCTTTTAAATTCAAGTTTTTTGATAATTATAAGATTTCTAAATAGTTAACGAGTTAATAATATTTAATTAAGTTCATTGTTTTAATTAGATTTGTTCAAAATTAGTTGTTTAGTTGATTGTAAGAGTGATTATTATTGATTTTTAGATAAAGTTGTTTTTCAAGTCAGTTCTGGTTGAAAGTGTTGTGAGAGTGGATCAATATTTGAATGTAAATAATCTTTACAATATTTAATATTATAGTTATAATCTTGTAAAGTCATTATTCATCTGGTGAGTTTTTCAGATAATTGTAATTTGTTGAATAAACTTTTTAATGCATTATGGTTAGTAATTATTATAAATAAAATATTGAATTAAGATATAATCTAAATTGTTGAACAGTCCATATGACAGCTAAGTATTTTAAAATAATTTCTTTCATTTTGATTAGTTCTTCTACTAGTATATATGACTATATGTTTTTTTATTATTATCTTTTTGAGCTAATACAACATCAAGTTCAAAAGAAAAGACATCAGTAAATAATATAAATGATTTATTAAAGTTTGGATATATTAATATTAATAGTGATATTAATTTTTGTTTCAATTTCTCAAATACTTGTTAACATTCTTCATTCCAATAAAATAGTTATTCTTTTCTTATTAGATAATGTAATAGTATAGCAATCTTTACAAAATCTTTTATAAATTATTGATAATATGAAGCAAGTCCAAGAAAATCTTTTAATACTTTTAAATTATTTGATTTTGGAAAGTTTTGAATTGCTGAGATTTTTGTTGGATCAGATTGAATTTTATTTTTGCTAATAACATGTTCAAGGAATGAAAGTGATATTTTTCTGAAGTGATATTTATTAGGATGTAGTTTTAATTTACTTTTTCAAATTATATCAAATGTAATTCTCAAATATTATAAGTGTACTTCAAATATTTTTGAAAATACATTTGTATCATTGAGATATACTACTAAAATATTTTTAATATGTGCTTTAAATATTTGATTTACTAGTTATTGAAATATTGCAGGACCATTTGTGAGTTCAAAAAATATTATATTGAATTTGTATAAATCTTTATCAGTGATAAAAGTGATCTTCTTTCAATCTTTTAGTTTTACTTCTATATACTAATATTCACAAATTAGATCAAGAGTTGAAAAATATTTGGCATTTCCAAAAGTATCTAGTAAGTTATCAATTTGTGATAATGGAAAGTTATCATCTTTTATAGTAACTTTATTCAGTTGTTTATAGTCAACACAAAATTAAAATTTTTTATCTTTTTTTTTTGTTATGACTACTGGTATAAATCATGAACTATCAGATAGTAAAATAATATTTTGCTTTAGCATTCAATCAATTTTATTTTGTATGAAATCTTTTTCTAATAGTAATCTTTTATAATACAATTGGTTAACTATTTTCAGTGTCAATTTCATATTGAACAATATTGATTTTACCAGGATCTGAGATATTAAATAGATTATTGTATTTGGCTAATAGTTAGTTTAGTTATTGCTATTGTTTCTCAGTTAGATCAGTTTCTTTGTTTGGTGTGAATTGAAAAAGAGATTCTTGAATTATCTCAAGTTGTTGATATAATTCTTTTTCATCAATGCAATTCAAATAGTTTTTAATTGGTTGATTATTATTATGTGAATATTTATCTAGTCCAGTTATATCATTTTTTTTTAATTCTTCAAAAGTCGAATGAAAAATTTGGTCTTTTAGTTAAATATAGTTCTTTTAACTTTTATATTCAAAATAACTTAATTATCAATTTATTCATAGATTTTTAATAATAATGCATCTAATAGTTCTTCTTTGAATTCATCTTTATCAAGATTTTTAATATTTTCAAATTTTAGTTTTCCAGTTAAACCAAATTCATTCTTTTTATGCTATGAATTTTCAAGTTCATCCTGACTTTCTACTATAATTAATTTTGTAATGCTAACTATTGGTAAGAATATATATAGCTTGAGCAATTTTTTCATTTGATTATATTTAATATGTATTAATAGAATTATTATATAATAGAATTCTAATATTTCTAGTATAATCAATGTCAAATATTCCAGCTTTGACTTCTATATTTTTCATTATCCAAGATGATCTGGATTTAAGTTGACAAAAAGTTTCTTTTAATATTTTCATTGTGATTTGTATATTAATAAATATTGCTTAATATGATAAGATATCAATTATATTTTCTTCAGGATATTTCATATTAAAGTCAGCATTATTTTCATGTGCTTTTTCTGATATTCTATCTTTATTATTGTTGTCAAATATTTTAATTTCAATATCATCTTCTGGAATAATTAATTTATTTTGTTCATTTTTAGTTATTTGATCTCTTTATTGTAAACATGAGATAGGTATTTTTATTTTTTCACTTTGATATTCAAATATTAATATCTTTTTCTTCCAGTCTAAAATACTATTATTATTATGAGTCTAGTCATTTTCAAGTAAAAGATCATAATTATTTTTTTCAGTTACAAGTGCATTAATTTTGAGATTTTTGTTGCTCAAAGTAATTGATAAGTTGATTACTTCTCTAAGTGATTGTTCTTTTATTCTATTTATTTCAACTAAATTAATATTACTAGATCATCGTATTTTCCAGTTAATTTTCTTCAAAAAGTCATTTGATATAATATTGCTTACAGCTTTGCTATCAATAATAATTATTGCTTTGTAATCTTTAATTTTTTAATACAATGCATTGCATCAATAGATTTTTGTTTTAATCTTTTATTTTCTTGTTTATTAATAATTAATAATTATTTAAGTAATTCAGTTAAAGATTTTGATAAAAATAATACATGTTCACCTTCTTGAAATGCATTTAAGAGTTTAAATACTGATTGGTGCTGAGATAAATATTTTGTTATTAATTATTATTATTTTGCTAACAATTATTATCATTTCAATTTTGATATTAGTTGTTATTATAATTATTATTTACAAATGCTACAGTATAATTATGCTCAAATTCTAGAATTAATTTAGCTTATATAATAAGAGATACAAATTAAATAGAAAGAAAAGAACCATCAAAAAATCTAATGATTAGATAATTACAATATAATTAGTTACCTAGATAATGCTCATAAATACAAGAAGTTGATATAATTAATGAATAAATTGTTATCTGTCATCATGAGATAGATTAATAATATTAAATTATTACCTAGAATATAAGTGAGTTCTTCATCAGGATAATTATTGTTAGTGTGATCAGAGAAGAAAAATTTGTAGGAGTAGAGATTAAATTTCATATGAATAGAGAAAATGTTTTTGTAAAAGATTATTATTTAAATTTGCTATAGTGTAGTCTTGTACATTTTGCTTACTAATCTAATTTACATACGTAATTTTAATGACTAGTGAAATGCAAAGTGAACCACCAAAAATTCATATGAAGATTACAATGTGACTAGCCACTGAGGCTTGTCCAAAACTAAACTAAACCAGTAGGAACAATGAGATGGTCTATATAAGGTTGTAAGGTAATGAGTTCAAGCAAAGTTTGATCAGTACAGAGTTTAATAAGACCCTCTTTGTGACATAAATTTGTGGAGGAGGACTTAGTATGAAGTTTACATTTGTAAAGATCAGAATTTAAATGCAATTTAGTAAGAGTATTATATGAAGTAGGAGAAGATGATCCAAGAGGTCATCCAGATTTTTTTCCAGTGAATTGTTTTTTTTGTCTTGTAGTAATAGAAAGAGATTTGTCAATGGAGATTTGTCAATGGAGGTTTGAATGATGTATCGGAAATTCCAAATAAGTTTTCTTCCTTTTTTTGTGAACCATGTGACGAAGGAGTGAACATGTGAGAGGCATATTTGTGAGAGATATTTTGAGCTTTGAAGAAGGTTGTGAGTTTCTGAGACACAAAGCCTTTGAAGATTTCGATGAATTCAGGTATAATGATAATACTGTGAGAATTGTAAGTAGGATAATTAAGAAAGTAAGCAGAATTGGTGAAGTTTTTGATGATGGTAGCTATGTGAGGTGAAAGAGTGAGATTATTGATGAGGTAAGTTTTTGTAAGGAGTTTTTGTAGTTGTTTGTTGCTTTTTTGAAAGATGAGAAGACGTAAGAGTTCAGATTTGGAGCAGGTTCAAATGTGGTTGTTAGTTTCTGTATGTAATAAGCAGTGGTTACAGATATCTGATGGATATAAGTGTGGTTTGTATTTTTTTAGATTGTCTAGTGTAGGAAGCAGATTGTGAATGGCTTTAATGAAAAAGATGCGAGTATTGGAAAATTGTTCATTTGCAATTAATGAATTGGTGTCAGAGTCCTGGTGCCATACTGAGTGTGTTGCTTTTCAGTCAACTATGAATCTGAATCCAGCTTTGAGTGCAGGATAGAGCACAGTTTGGTTTTGCCATTTTAGAATGTGTTCAGTAGTGTCTTGAAGCTTTAAAATGTGACGTAGATTGAATGTAATATTAAGCTGGTTGTTGAAGACAGGGTAGAATTTTAGAAGTGAAATCATTTTGAAATTGATACTAAGTGGGGGGTAAGAGCATGCATTTTTGGCTAGTTGATCAGCAAACTTATTGCCAGGAATGCTGGAGTGTCCTTTGATTTTTATAAGTGTAAGATGTAAGTTTTTTTTGTTGATATTATGATGAATGGTAAGCCATAAGTGCCAATTAGGATGTTGAAGTAGTTTGCGTAGAGAATGTAGATGATGATTGGTGATATTGTAGTCAAAGCCTTGGATTGTTGCTTGAGAGTCAGAAAAGATAGTACAATGACAATTGTGAGGAAGGTGTTCAGTAATTGTAAGAAGAGCGTATGTTTCAGATTCAGTAGTGGATGTGCAGGACAACAGGGAATGTTGAAGAGAAATTGTTGAAGGCCAGTTTGTCCAGGCAGTTCTGGAAGCAATGTTGGAGGAGTGCATTTTTTGTATGAAACCATCAGTGAAGAGTTCAATTGATGTAGTATGTTGCAGTTGATTTTTGGTAATTTGTCATGAATTGAAGTTTGGATCATTGATTAACAGGTGAGAGTTGGAAATATTGTGTTGCATGCCAATATGATTTGGTCTGGATTGGAGAAAGGTTCGATGAAAGATTTATCTGATTGGATCATGAAGATTGATAATTTGTTGTTCGAGAAGTTTGAATCATCATGGAGTGGGTCCATGACAAGTTTTGCAACGACGGGTTTTGTATTGTCACCAAGTGATTAAGGCGTTATTAGAGTATTTAGTGAGTTGTTGAAGGGAGAGAGTTTTGTCTTGTCTGAGAATGTGATAACATTTGAGAAAAATAGGCCAAGGACCAAGCAGATGTTCTAGTGATTATTGTAATTCATTAGATTGAAGTGGTGTCAACTGGTTATTAATTTGATGAGTCTGGTGAAAGCTGATATTACGATCGTACATAAGGGTGAGGATGGATGCTATCAGATTTTTTCCTGGTTTAGAGTATTCAGGTGTTGGAGATGACAGGATGGGATTGAAGGACCATCTTTGTTTTTGAAGTGACTGTAGTCTGATGAATGTAATTTTACCAAGTATACCAGGATCATTCAGTCGATAGAAAAGTTCTGAGATTTTGTTTCTAGATTGTATTTGCCACAAATTTTCCAGATTGTACAATTTCAGATGATATAAGACGGAGTCAGAAGTGTGGAGAGGGAGATAAGCTTTGTTTTTTATTAAGACTTTGATTGGTCGCATCAGTTTTTTGCAGTCAGTTCTGGAGAACAACAAAAGTTGTGATTTGTATTCAAAAGCGGGGAAGAGCACGCGATTGATAATATAAATGACCTGTTTATCAATGATTTGTTTGCGTTTAAGGAGAGTGGAAATTGCTGTAAAGTTAGTGTAAATTTTTGTTTTTTGGGTAGAAAAAGAGCCTTTGGAGTCAATGTAAAGTTCAAGATATTTGGTGCTGATGTGTGGGGGTAAGATAGGGATAGAATTGTGGTGGATACCAAGATGTAATGACAAGGTTGAAGTGTCATCTTTGCTGTTGTTGTGAATTACTTCAGTTTTTTTGTATTAATGTCGATATCGTACATTAGGTAGAATTGTGATGCAGTGTCAAGAATATGTTGTAAATTGTTGTGTCCATTTGCAATCCAGACGGTATCATCAACAAATGCGAGATTGGTAAAGAAGTGTGAGGAAGACAGAGTTAAAGAAATAGTGATATTGGTTGTCCAGGTGGAGGAGATTGTATATCCTGAGTTGCTGTGAAGTTTATTGATCTCGCACAATAAAGGATCATAAAAAATGCGCCATAGAATGGGAGCATTAACTTCACCTTGGTCGAGATCATCAAGTACTGGATATGGTTCAGTGAGATCATATTCTGTGAAGATTTGATTTTGTCTTTGGCGGTGAATTTTGTTGCAAAGAGATATGTAAAAAGGATTCATTTTGATTTGTTTGAAGGCAAGATGAAGCATTTTCCAACTGACAGAGTCATAGGCTCTGCGCATATCTTGGAAGGCACACCATATTTCTTTGTTGTGTTCTCTGGCGTCTTCAAGGATGCTGTTGATTATGTAAATAGGTGTGGTGACGAAGGTTCCTTTGAGTACAGAGAAGTTGCCTCCTTGTAATACATTATGAATTTTACAGATTTGGAAGATACGGTTGGTGAGTATGAAGGAGAGACCTTTATGAGCAGTTTCAATTAGGGTGATTGGATGGGTGTAATTTAAATTTCCTTTTCAATTGAAGATTTTTGGTATTAAGATAATGTTGGCACTCTTCCATTCGTGTGAGATGTCAGATTTGAGTAGATACATATTATACAGTATAAGCAGGAGAGATTTTGTAGTGTGATTGGCATTTTTTAGGAGGACATGTTGAATTCCTGAAGATCCAGGAGCTTTGTAGGGAGCAATGAAATTTAGCATTTGGTAAAATTCAGAATCAGTGATTGGATTTATAACGTTGTCGAAAGTGTCGTCAGAAAGATGAGTGATAGGATCATATTGTTATTTCCAGCTTTGATTAGATCAACTTGTAGTATTTCTTTTGTGAGTCCAATTTAGAAAGTGGTTGCATACAGTGTGTTTGATTGTGTTGGGATCATTAGATAATCCTTGTGGTGTGAATACTTTATTAATGGTGATGAATTGTGTTTCTTTTTCAAGGATGTTTCTGAGTATTATAGTTTGTTGTATGCTGTATCTTTTAATATTTTGTTGGATTGTATTTTTTATGTAGTTTTGTAATTGTTTTTGTTTGGCAATTTTAATGACGAAAAGAGTTTTTTGAATAGTTTGAAGTAGCAAAATGTTATCGTTAATAGAGATTTGTGAGTTCCAGTTTGAATAGGGGATTGTAATGTTGGGATCAATTTGAGTGATTGCTTGTGTTAATTTGCTGTAGTGTTGGATATGAGAAGAGGTGTGGGTGTCTTGAAAAGTTCTGCAGATTCTAATGAGTTGAATTATAATTTTGAGTTTTTTGTTGTTAATGTTTGTGCATTTTGGAGGTTGAGAGTTTTGCCGAATGATTTTTTTTGGAATGTTGGTGTCAGCTGCGACAATGATATTATTGAATTGAGATTGGATAATGTTTGAGCTGAGATCATTAGTGTGTTGTTTGTATTTATCCCAAGTTTTGAGAGGTAAGTTTTGTGTGATGTAGTGAGAGCGTTTGGATTTGTGTTTTTTTAAGATGTGAGTTGGAGTTCGTGATATGAGAGATAATATGTTGTAGTCAGAAATGGCGAGTTTGTGATCTGTTTCAAACCAATCACTGTTTGAAATTGCTGCATTGAGAATGAAAGTAGAGAAATGTGAAGAGTTCCAGTTCATGTCAAGTCAGTGGTTGGAGTTGCATCTGCTCCAAGTGTAGTCAGTTTTTGCTGGATGTATTTCATTAAAAGATTCAGCCAATCCTTTGAAAATGAGAAGGTTTAATATTGTTCTCATTAATTCAAAAATTGTTGAAATTAATGAATTAACAAAGTAATATAACAGTGAAAGAACAAAGACTGAATGAATTACAATTAATGGGGTTCACTAAAGGTTCTAAAGGTCTCCTGTGGTA